TGGACATGGACAACAATGTGGTGATCGAGGGGGCGGGGGGAGGTGGAAGAGGGGATAAATGGTGAAGGAAAAAAATATGCCACAAATATGTGCGTGCGTAGGTCAATAATTCCATTTCCAATAAGTCTACTTTGTATGAATTGAATTGGATGGCAGAGCAAAAACTTAATGTAATTAAATTTTGCTCTGTCTTCTTTAGTGAATGCTTTTGAATTCCAGAGAGATATTCAGAAAACCGTTCGAAGACCTTGGGAAAGAAAGTGCCATTGAAATGCAGAGTGCTGTAATTATAATAATGATGATTTTTGCTGCCGTTCTATCACTGATCCTGGCATTGCCCCTTGTACCACTTCCAATCAGCGGTATTTCCCCCTGCCCTCCAAAGCAAGGGAAGACAGATTTAAGCTAGCTAACGACAGAAAAAAAGAACCTTTGGGGTACTGTCTAGACGACTTAGTTCCCAAGGAAAAAAAAATGCTTCTGCTAGGAGACCTAATGGCTCCATGAAACTGGAAGTTGAAACTGCCTGCTGGCTACTTCATGTTCCTCACGCTGAAGAACCAACAGGCAGAGAATGGGGTGATGCGCTGGCTGGGATGAGGGTGATGATGGAGGTGAAACTCGATCACTATGCACTAGAGGAGAAAGAAGTATGAGCAAAGGACATGCTTATATTCTCCTGTCCCCCACACGGGGTGGGTTAAAACAACAGAACTTTATTCTGTTACCACCTGGAAGATAGAATTCCAAGACCCCCTGTTAGCCTTGCTGAGGGAGAATCTGTTCCGTGCCTGGCGGTACCCAGCAACCTTTGCTGTCCTTGGCTTGTCTGTGCCACCCTGATCACTGCCTCCCTCATCGGACGGCCTTCATCCCTTTGTGTGTGGTCCATTTTTTCCCCCTTGTTTTAAGGACACCAGTAACTGGATAAGGGCTCATCCTACTCCAATATGAACATCTTTAAAATTCCACTCCATCTGCAAAAATCCCATTTCCAAGTAAGATCATATTGACAAGGTCTGGGGCGCACAATTTCAAAAGCACCCCTGTTGGCAAGCACAGTCCAATCTATAATATCCTTGTGTTTCCTGTCCTTCAACTGCAGGATATTAAAGGGGAGAGTGGATCTCAACCCAAGGGAAATGAATACCATCCAAGAAAGGATACGAGTAACACGTGGGGCTACATCTCTTCCCTGGGAGAGAGTATTGGGAGTGTTTTCAACCACAGAAGTGATAGTCGCATCTTATTAGGTGAAAACCTCATTTTCTAACGTCTGCCTGGAAGTTACGCGTGGCCCGCAGGAGTGCAGATGGATGCCAAGTTGGCAAGGATGGACGCTGGAGCTGTGGTCCAGCATAGACTTGGCTCAATCCGAAACCACACTGTGCAGACGCCCCCTTCCTGTCTCGCGCTGGGTTAAGGTTAGCCCCCGAGAGATGTGCACGAGCTACAGGAGGCCTGCGTGCAGCAGCGACCACTGCACTCTGACCAGGGCGCCAGGCACTCTGGGAGCTGGCGCCCCTGTTCACTGACCGGGTGGCTCACCTTGACTTGGGAGGCGGCCGTGGCTGAGGATGCAGCTCCGAGAGCTCCTCCAAGAACTCCTCCCTCAATTTTGCAAGTTTTGTACCTGCTCCGTGTTCAGGACAGGGGGTCCTTCTCCAAAGTCACCCACATGGTGGAGGCTGGTGACAGGCAAACGCCACTTCTAGCTTTTCCTCCCGATTCCATCAGCCTGGCTCTCCTCCACTTCACACCCAGCTTTTCTCCACCAGCCCTGCTGACCCACCGAGACTTGTCATCAGCAGACACGGAGGCGACACGCTTCCGTTGACTCCTCCTCTGGACCCCAGTTGTCTGATCCCTGAATAAACCCCTCATTCCACCTCTCTCAGCGCTCCTGCTTCTGCCCAATCAGGAACCCCAAAAAGCCTGGAATTCAGTCTATCCCCTCCATAAGGACAGGACGTCTTCTACTGACAGATCTGTTGTGGAAACTTTTTCTGATCACTGTATTATCATCCATCCTTAATACTTTTGACCCTCTCTCCCGCCCACATCCATACATAACCGTCTCCAATTAGCGCTTGAAAGCAAGTACCCACTCCTCTTTCCTGAGATCAGCTGTTCCGTGTTTGGGGACTAAAACACAAATGCAATGTGCTGTGGCTTATTTACAGGAGTCTGTTCACAAACAAGGTGACAGCCATGTTCTTCATATCTATTCACGTCGGCTTGCCAGACATCTCCCCTCCCAGAAGGGCTCGCGAGAGCAACTTACTAGCATCGTATCTCCGTCAACTTCTGAAGGGTGAGTCAGGTCCTGGTTCTTTACCCTGATAGTTTTTGTTTTACTATCAGCTCTCATTTTCCCGTTTCCCATGTTTGATTACCCTTTCGGAAGGTCGTCTCTCATCTTTCCGTCAACAGATGTGATTGCTGGGCTGGGTACCTTCCGCTGCCTTGTGCGTGTCACCTTCCCGGCGCTACCCTGTGCCCTTCCTGTCCTCATCCAGAAGTAGCTAGCCCAAGCCCTTCTGTGAAATGCGAACTCTACATCAGTGATGGCGAACCTCTTGAGCTCGGCGTGTCAGCATTTTGAAAAACCCTAACTTCACTCTGGTGCCGTGTCACATATAGAAATTTTTTGATCTTTGCCACCATAGTAAAACAAAGACTTATATTTTTGATATTTATTTTATATATTTAAATGCCATTTAACAAAGAAAGGTCAACCAAAAAAATGAGTTCGCGTGTCACCTCTGACACGCGTGTCATAGGTTCGCCATCACTGCTCTACATCCTGGCTAGCATGCATTCACTGCACAGGTATTAACTGTTGAAATCAACTTAGAGGACCTAGAGCTGCTGTTGTGTGGAACTTTAGACAGCAATGCCTTCTGTATCTGTTTCTTTTTCCTCAGGAGATATATTATAAATTCATTCGATTAAGTCATTCTATTCATTCAGCAGCAGTCATGCTCTGCTGGACTCTGAGCATGATGCATGCATTGGTCAGAGGCTGGCTTTCTCGGGAAGATAATACTCCACGATTTCCCAGCTCAGCCCTGAGGCTCCCAGGCACCGAGGGAGGCCCAAGGCCTGGGGAGTCTGGTTTCTAGAGTGACGTCTTGGCTAATCCATATTATTTTCACAAACTGGTTAACATGCCTCAGGAAGACATGGAGGCTAAGTAGCTCAGAGCCGATTAGCAAAAAAAAAAAAAAAAAAGTCCTGAATTCTGAGTCTCTCTCAGAATTCTTGGTATGCTGGCTGGCAGGATTCCTGTCTTTCTCTCAAAATTACAAAGTTCAAAAAACATAAATCATGTTCATATAACTAAAGAAAACCTGTATTGATTTTTTTCTCTTTGTTTTGGTTTTTAAAAGAAAAAGGAGACAGGGAATAAGTCTTACATTCTGTCAGAAATTTCACATTTGGACTTAGAATCAACAATTTAAAGAAATGCCTAGTAAATCATCCCACATTTTAAATCACGAATTATAGGTCAACCCCACTCCTTACATAGGCTCGGCCACCAATCCTCAGTCTGAAGAATAGAAAACAGCATGAGAGAGATTTACTTTTCACTTAACACTTTGTACTCAATGCAAATAATTCCAAAATTTCTGTTAATGTCCTCGTAAGAGGTAAAGTTACTTCTAGTAGAAAAGCTGTTTTTCAAAAATGTCAAAAAATATTGCATTTATAGTAACATTTTTAAGCAAACATTCACAAAACTCTATCAAAAGTAGTCATGTGGAATTGGACATGCCAGAATTCTTCAAGTAGGTAACTGGTTAGGCAAGTGTCAGTGGCTGTGAGTGTCCCCTAAGGCCAAATCCCTCTAGACATCTGTCTTCATAAAACGTAGAAAACATTTGATTTCATTCCTCTGCTGTGCCCACCCCCTCGTCTATGGGTCGGGAATCCACGGACTATAAGCCGTGTCTCATATGGATTAGCCAAGACACCACCAGGGCGAGCAGGAAGCTGTGTCTGAGGAAGCCGCTCCAGTTTGCTGGTGAAAAAGCAGGAACTAGAAATTGGCTGTGGTGCACCCTCCACGGTCCATGTCACTAAAAATGTCAAGTGAGCAAGTGGCGATGGAGGGGTGAGGATGACCACCAGGAACCCTAAACAGCAGATTGTCACAAGTGTTTATCAAATAGCCTCTGGGGAGATCCTGGGATTCTAACCAATCAATCTGTCAGGGACCTAACTGATCACCAAAGCTCACAGGCTGGTGTAGAAACCCCTCCTTCCTTAACGTGACTCTACTTGGAGCTCCTCCAGGCCTGAGAGGAATTGCATGTGCAGGAGGAGATGGTGGAGCTGAGGATAGGGGGAGCCCTGAGAAGGCCCATCCTTGAGCTGTTCTGCTTCCTTGCTCATTCCCTCTGCATCACGTTGAGAACAGAGAACATTTCACCTCCTCACCCCTCTTCCCTATAAAAATGTGTATTTCCACTTATGTGACCAGTTACCAGAGGTAAGAGATGCTTGATCTGGAGTTGAGGAAAAGAGGAGGAAACGACACACGTCCCAAGATGAGTTTCATTTATATAATGAAAATAAACCTTTACACAAATCAACAGAAACACACCCAGTTGTTTTTTTGCGAAAAATATTTTTAAATAAATTTTTGTCTTTTTTTTTAACATTCTGATATACATATGTAACAAGGTTTATGGCACTGTAACCAGAATCAAATCCAAAAAAAAAAAAAATTTAAAGGAAAAAGGTGGGAAGGAAAAGTAATCGGTTTCATTGAATGCTCTTGACTCTCCACGCTGGCAAATCTGCACTATTTGCCTAGCATCTGGCTGCCCGCTCTAACTCGCTTGCACACTCAAAACACCCTAGTATTGCACAGTGAAGGCATATGGTAGAATGGTCAGTTCCTTGCTAGTTCAAAAAAAAATCTCTTAAACCCAGAAAGGGGAAAAATATAATCCAGAGTATGAAACACACAAAATCAACAGTATCTTTGTCTCTTTCAGGAACGTGAAGGGTCCGCAGACCACTTACGCTGCCCTGATTGCACTCGGCACCACTGAGCAGGTCAGAGCTTGGTGGGTGGGTCTGTTTTCTACGTGAATGGCCCGGCAGATCCAGGTCTTCATAACCCAATGTCTTTTCTACTGTCTTTTGGTTCTTTTTAAAATTGGTACAAAGTGTATATTCGGTCTATGAACCTGCACAGACTATATAATCATAAACTCTACAAATAGCTTCAAAGGAAAGGGGGGGGAAATAAGTTTTATTACGTGTTTATTGTTGGCTTGAAAAAAAACAAAAAACAAAAAACCCACTTCCTTAGCCAGAGTGGAGAGATCCTTATAATAATCTTCCTTATCAGCTCCTGGGCAGTAAATCTCAATGGGCACCAAAAGTTAAATTCTTCTCACACTGGTTAAAGATAAAAAGATTTTAAACGAGTTTGTTTCCGTTCACAAACCTTACCCCCAGCTTAAAAAAAAAAAAAAAAACAGGAAAGAAAAAGCAAAGAAATAATCCGCTCTCCTTTCTCTCTGTCTCCTAACAGAGACCAGTGACCCTGACCGTCCCGACTGCTGTCACACCACCGTCTCCACGCCCATCAGCTTTGGTGTAAGGATTCGCGGTGTCACCCCGTTGTTCAGGTCTTCCTCGAACTCCAGCAGCTGCCCCATGAAGTTGAGGTTTGGGGAGATAATTGGTCGTTTGCCTTTGACGAATTTATAAGCATCAGTCATGGTCATCCGCGTGTGCTTCATCAAGTAGGCGATGACGATGGTGGCCGAGCGGGACACCCCGGCTTGGCAGTGGATCAGGAGCCCCTTCCCACACTGGTGCGCTTCCTCTGGAGAAGGGAGAACGGCAAGAGGTGAAGGCAAGCACACAGGCAGACGGTAAGCGAATTCACTTTCCTCTGGACTTGACCAGGCCATATTTTGTTGAGGAAGAATAAACTAAAATGGTTTTATACCAAAGTATAATTTACTAGCTCACTGTATATGTACACTGACTGGCCAGATGATTATGACCGCCCCATCAGTACAATGAAGTGAATTAGTTATGCAAATAATAATAATAATAATAATAATAAAACCTTGAGAGTATTTGCTTAGGAAGTTTTCAAAATTCAGTATTTTGGGAAGTGTCAATGAAGTACTGATGGGGTGCTCATAATCTGGCCACAGCGAGCCACAACCTCCAGAGTGGGCGAAAAACAATCGTTGCATAAACAAGCAGCTACATTCCTGCATTTAAGAGAGAGCAGGTGAAGGAATTATTCATAGTAACAGGGTACCCCACAGGTGATGGCTTTGACTGACGAGAGAGCCACAACAGTTAACTTCCATGTGAAGCAAGCTACCAAGTAGGCCCTCCTGATCCAGGACCTTAATTCCAAATGCCAAGACTGGTTGACCTTTCAAAAAGTAGAGTCGTTAAAAGTCTCTCCCTGCCTTCGAAGAAGACAGTTCTTTATGCCAGTGGTTGGCAAACTGCGGCTCCCGAGCCACATGTGGCTCTTGGCCCCTTGAGTGTGGCTCTTCCACAAAATACCGACTTCTGCGCATGGGCCACGAAGTTTCAGTTCTAATAACTCTCGAAAATACGTGCACGCCCGCACATGGTATTTTGTGGAAGAGCCACACTCAAGGGGCCAAAGAGCCGCAGTTTGCCGACCACTGCTTTATGCTGTAGAATTGCTCTGGACAGGAACTGGTATTGATAAATAAGAATGTCAGTCTTACTAAACTCAAACCGAGGTCAAAGAGACAGAAGTCAACTAGGAAGGTACCATGTTCGGCTTCTTATGGGAAAACCCTGTTGCGAAGTTAGGAAAAGACTTGTGGGTCCAGGCATGAGCGTCCCCTACATCTGCACTGGGGAGCCCTCTGTGATGCCACAGCAAGCCCAGGCATTTTTCTAACGGAGGGGGCACCTGATTCGACACATGGAGGAATCTCAGCCATGGCTCAGAACCCAGAGCAACTGGGAAAGGCCATACTTTATATGTTTCAGGGACATTAAAAAGCCCAGAGCAGCTGTGGGCACTGCCTAACGGATTCCTCAGGACGTGTCTAGACTAAAAGGCATCCCCAAGAAAGTGTCCCTAAGGGGACACCAGTTATCAGCGGTTCTCAACCTGTGGGTCGAGACCCCTTTGGCGGTCGAACGACCCTTTCCCAGGGGTCACCCAAAACCATCCTGCATATCAGATATTTACATTACGATTCATAACAGTAGCAACATTACAGTTATGAAGTAGCAACGAAAATAATGTTATGGTTGGGTCACAACATGAGGAACTGTATTTAAAGGGCCAGAAGGTTGAGAACCACTGAGTTAGATGAAGAACAGGAAAGGACAACAGGGTAAGGAGAGTCGTGATTTAACTTACAACTACCAAGAAAAGAAGCATCCTGTAAATTTCCATCTTAAAAACCTACAGATCAGGCTTAATTCTCACAGAAGTATTTCAAGAAAGTATCTCCCTCTTTTAATGTCTTCTTTTTAGCACATACTAGTTATCAGCCGCCACACCAAGACTAGGGTGCATGGTGGTAAGAAGATGAGCTACAAAGCGCTGCTCTGACCACTGGTTCCACTAAACATTGGGTGAGTGACCTTGAGACTCAATCCCTCTGTCTGAACCATGGGAATAACGCCTACGAACCAGTCTCGGGGAACATGGGTATAATATCACCCAACTCAGAAATAAACTGGCATAAACCCTAAACCTAGACTCTTTTTAGTTTCTATTGGACTCTCGGTGAGTGTTACTGTGTTTATAAAACTTGCTGTGTTTTTCCTAGATCAAGACTACAGGACTTCAGTTTACCCAACGATATAACAATGAAAACACAATTGTGCTACGCAGGCTGGGGTACGGAACCGAAATGCTGTTTGCTACGTGTTTGTTTTTCCTTCTACAAAAGCAGGTAAGTGAACGCCCTACAAGAACGTAGGGCGCTTTGATTGCAGTCCTCTTAGAGGAAGCACATTGCATGCTACTCACTAAAGGAACACAATTTCCTAACTTCCCTCAACTGGAATTAAGTCAGAAAAATTGCAGCCGTAACATCATGTACCAACCAGAAAGTTCCTCATCTGCCTGATGACAACTATTTCTTCCTCCGGGCTCAAGGTCTGGCTCAGATGTTGGTAATAAAGAAGGTAAGGTCCCTTGGCGGGAACGAACAGAGCATGGTAAACACTGCCCCAGCTTATTGTAGAAAGGACCCTGAGTTCTGGTCCCTTCACTGACACTAAACCTCCGATGACCCTGGAGAAGTCATTTTGCTTTTCTGAGTTCGGTGCCCACTCAGAATTTCCTTCCTGGCGGAATACTCCGTGGTCCTGCATTGAAGGCACTTTAGCAAAGATAACAGCGGGGCAGTGAGCTGGGCAGTGGCCAGCGCTGTCAACTCTACAGCCAGTCCACCAGACCCAATTGGCTGTTGAGCCCAAGGCATTTTCCTAACGGAGGGGCACCTGACATGAGAGCATTCTTCCCGGGACACAGGCCAGTAACAAGCTGCTGCCATATTTAGGAAAAGCACGGGGTCACCCTTTTGTGGCCATCAAGGTTAGTGTCACTGGATCTGCTGGATGCCAGGTGTTCCCCAAATGATCATTTGAACGTTACCACAGTCTGAGGCTCTAGAGGCAGCAAAACTAAAGGTAGAATTAAGGCTAGGCTGGCCATCGCTTCCTTTTGGAGATCAAGGCCTGCTGTTACTAGAATTTTCCTCAGGCTGGACACCTTGATCTTCCTACTTCAGTGAGTCTGGGGTGAACCGTCTAAGGCAGTGGTTCTCAACCTTCTGGCCCTTTAAAGACAGTTCCTCATGTTGTGACCCAACCATAAAATTATTTTCGTTGCTACTTCATCACTGTCATGTTGCTACTGTTATGAATCATCATGTAAATATCTGATATGCAGGACGGCCTTAGGCGACCCCTGTGAAAGGGTCGTTTGACCGCCAAAGGGGTCGAGACCCACAGGTTGAGAACCGCTGGTCTAAGGAACTCGAGTACCATCTCACCAATGCTCACATTCACACCCTTTGCTACCTGATGTTTCAGACGAAGCAGGGAGAGGGAAAAACACTCCCCGCCTCCAGTCCTCTCTCTTCTCTGCACTGATGTGATGGAGAAAGATGTTGGCCATGGCATTGCCTCACCTCATGTAAAGAGGCTCTACCAACTGCAAGTCCACTGAACTCAAGGTAAGGGGGGTGTGGGCGAGTCTAGTCACTATGTTTTATTTCCTGCAAGGTGCAGAGGTAGACCAGAAAGCCACAGCACCAGCTCTGGTATCCACTGTCTTGCCTTCTATCCATTCTTTTATAGAAATTATACTCTGGAACGTATCACGGCTAACCCCTGCCACTTTCTCACTGAGCACTTGAGGGTTTCCAGCTGAACGCCTCCCAGGCAAGTGGAATTCCTGCCCTTTTCTATTCCTGATGGACCCAGTACACTCGGTGGGTTATGACCTGGTTCAGATATTAGTAATAAAGAAGGTAAGGTCCCTTGGCACCACGCCGGGCAGCAGAGCCCCAAAACCACACCGAGCAGCTTTCCTTTAACACCCCGACATTCATCTTGAACTTGACATCAAAGCAAAAGCCGGAGGGGAAAGGAAGGCGGAGGAGGCGAGCTCCCCGGGGGCGGTCGTTACCAATGAACTCGAAAGCCTCTTCAAAGTACTGCCGCAGGTTCTGCTTGTTGCTGTCGGTGGCCGGCAGCCGCTTGTAGTTGAACAGGCCTTTCTCGTAGTGGTAGAGGGGCAGGTGCGTGGTGACGTTGATGACGTAGCCGATGTTCAGCCGCTGCATGGCGTCCAGGTCTTGAGCGTCCTGCTCGTTGCCAAGGAACAGGAAGGGCAGGATGGGCGTCAGCTCTGCGTTCTCGATGTCGGGGGTGGTGGGGATGCACTGAGGTAGCACTGAGGCCGCGGGAGCGCCGCCCCCCCCCCACCTCCCGGCACTCTTGGAGCTGGAGGGAGTTGTCACAGAGGTTTTCATGGTTCTGCTTAAAACTGCTGAGTCCACCTAGAACGCAAACACAGCGAGAATGACGCCCCCAGGCCTTCAAGTGGGCAGCAGCTACCTTCCCGCTAGGAAGGAGTGGGTGGTTTGTTGTTGTTATTGTTTTTATAATATGTTTTTATTAATTTTACAGAGAGAGGAAGGAAGACATAGAAACATCGATGAGAAAGATCAGTATTGATCGGCTGCCTCCTGCACACCCCTCACCAATGGGGAACAAGCCCACAACTTGGGCCTGTGCCCTGACCGGGAATCAAACCAGTGACCTCCTGGTTCGTGGGTCGATGCTCAACCACTGAGCCACACTGCCCAGGCAAGAGCGTGTGTTTTTTTGCAGATGTATATATATTTTATAAAATAAAATTTAAGCCCTAGCCGGTTTGGCTCAGTGGATAGAGCGTCGGCCTGTGGACTGAAGGGTCCCAGGTTCGATTCTGGTCAAGGGCACATGCTTGAGTTGCAGGCTTGATCCCCAGTGTGGGGCATGCAGGAGGCAGCCAATCAATGATTCTTTCTCAACATTGATGTTTCTCTCTCTCTCTTCCTCTCTGAAATCAATAAAAATAAAAGAAATATATTAGAAAAATTAATTTTTTTAAAAGTCCATTTGGAGACTCAGGACAGGCTTTGGATGCTGTCAGTGCGCACTTTTAATACAAACTGGGGCATGTTCCCCTGGAAAGAGCACCATGCAGCACCCGGCCGTTCCCCCGGCAGCTAATTGCTCCTGCCGCCCGGAGCACGTGCTCGGTGGCCTACATAGAACCTTGCACCTTGGGAGCTGACGGAGGCACAGCGCGATGACCTCAGGCGAGGAACCTCTGCCAGCATCTCAGCACCGCGGGCGTGTGCCTGGCACCCGTGGTAAGCTCACCTCACCCACAGTGACAGCTTCCCTCCCGACCCAGCACCGTGGCCATGAGCAGGGACCTGGGAAGAGCCCGTTGCCCTTGGCTCTCATCCCAGTCCCGCCCCTTCCTGGTCCTGTCACTTGCTGATGTTCATTTCTCTGAGCCTCAGCGAGGGCCAGGGCATCTACCCCCTGGTGTGAGCGGGAGCCTGGAATGAATGAACACATGTGAAGTACTCAGCACGCAGCCTGGCACTCGGTAGCACTCAGCAGGGGTTTGCTACTTCCATGAGAATTATTTCTACGATTGCCCAGGCAGCAGAGAAATGCTTGGAAAAGACAAAAATACAGGGAGGGGAGTTTTCCTTCTCTCTTTTTTAATATTTTCCATGTATTTCACTGACCGTTTTCAATCCCGATTTCCAGCAGGAGGCAGTGTGGGAGCAGCCCGGATCCTTGCACCCACTTTTCCATCAGGAAACCTCTAACACAAGCATGTCAAACTCACAGCCCACAACGAATATCTTTGCGGCCCAGCCAATATAACGGTATGTAAGAAACAATAAAAAATTTCTTAATTATTAATAACAAACTACAACGTTCGCTAATGACTGATTACTATAATTGTGTAGCATTCATTTCCCTGACGCGCAGGCGCACCATTTCTCTCCACTAACACTAGCAGCGAATATTTTAGCAGCCGATGGCCACGTCCTTAAGTCTTGGACTAGCTTGTTTGGTGTGCACAATGGGAAATATTTTGCTTTTGGAGAACAGGAAAAATAGGTTTATCTGCGTTATGCTTATTAATTTGTGCAGTTATTCAGTGGTAAGTTAACGTTCAAGAAAAAAATATTTTTATTAAAATGTTCTATTCTTTTATGTTAAGGATGACTCATTTATTTCAGCTCTTTGTATTTGGCATGTCTCTATCGAAATAAACCTACATTTCTATGAAAATTGAAGCTTTTGTTTTTTTTCGGCCCACATACGCTTACACCTTATTTGGCCCGTGTCAGCCTTTGAATTTGACATGCTTGATGTACACCTTTAGCTAGCTTAAGGCTCTGTCCTGCCTCCTAAATGCTCTGGGTCTCGTGTAAAAAGCTGAAAAGTGTACCAGTTTCTCCATTTTTAAAATGCAGGCCTGCCCCTCTACCGCAGGAGCATTACCCATGAGAATATAGCTGAAGGAAATCAGCTGCATACATAAGATGTTTACTACGGCATTGTCTATTTTATAGAAAAGGTCAAGTTTAAAACAATTTTAAGGGGAGAGTTCATGTAATCACCCAATGAAATGCTATGTAGCCACTCAAGGTTGTGAAAAAATAGGAAAACAAAGAGAATGTTTGTTTGATATTAAATGAAAAAAGGCAATTCAAAAACATCCACCGTACATAGTGATCAAAAGTTGAAGGACTATGCAAAAAAAAAAAAAATACTTGTTTAAGCAAACTATGATCCAGAAATTTCCTAACTTAAAGTTTCCTTTCATATTTGTTAGTTGTATCACGCATGTGGATAAGCCCAAAGGATTATTATGAGGGTCATGTTATACAATATACAAGGAAGGGCTACAGCACCAAATCAGCTCTAATTCAAATCAAACAGACGCACTCTGGCCTTTCCTTTGCAAAGAGGAAGGTGTTGGAAATCTCCAATAAGCTGAAAGCTACCCAAACACAGCCTCTCCCCGCTCGGTAGGGGCTTTACGGCAGCCTCCCTGGTTTCAGGAGGTAAAACAGGAAACCAGAGCGCGAACAGGATGGGGCTGTGGTGAAACAAGGACAGGAAGTCTATCTGTCCACTGGCCTCCGAGCCTCCCGTATGTCCTTCAAGGCTCATCTTTAGCAACCACAGCAGGAAGCTCCAGACTGTAACGGGGATCCAGTGTCGGGGCTGTTCACAGCCAGCGCACGGGGACTTGGCCATGTACACCAGGGAGGTCACATGTTACGGTCTGGCAATGACCCCAAGCATATGCCGAGGGGTAATATTGGGATCACTTCACTCCTCTGTCAGGGTCAAACCTCGCTCTTCTTTTTGCAAAAAAAAAGCAAGAGCTATCACTTCATTTTAATTGATTTTGAGAATTAAACGCTGCCCTTACATATTATTATTCTGCTATGAAATCGGGGGGGGGGGGAGTATCTGGGCTCAAAGAGATCATTTTTAAAGTAGACGGAAGGAATGGAAAACCCGAAACACTTCACTAGTGAAAGCATTTAAAGACACTGAAATTACCCACTGCCCCCTCACCAGCTCCACAAAAGAGACTGAAAGGATATTTAAAACCTGCCCAGCTTTGGCCCCTACCAAGTCCAAGGAGACGGTTCCACACTGATTCCGGGACGGGAACCCCACTCACTTTTTTTTCCCCCAAAGAAAAAGGCAGTTGTTACACTTTTCCATAAACAATGAGAGGAAAGAACAACTAAAACGAATTCAAAAGAAGTTTCTAAGGGGGTAGGGGGAGAAAACCAGAACGCTCTCGTCTGACGTAGGGTACTCAAGCTGTAATTTGTCTCAAAAGCGGCTGGTTAAAAAAAAAAAAATGCGCGCCAGCAAACCCCCCACGCAGAAGAAAGCCGCCCGGAGCTTTTTAAAATTCTGTCTCTACACCTCCTTTCCCAATGACATCAGCTGGGGGCTCCCCACCTGCCCAGTTGCCATAGCAGTTACACAAAGACATACAATGACATCAGTTGGCATGATATCAACTCTTTGAGTGCAAACAATACAAGAAGGAGGACTTTGTTTAAGGCCTTTGGTGCAACTGTGGTCTGGGGAGGCAGTGATGTAATATGCTAACAGGTGGCATAGGCCTTCCATGTGCCTAATGGGGGGCGGGGAGACGAAGGGGAAGGGAGGAGAGAATTCGAGACAGAGAGATCCGAATCACAGGGGGGCTCACGTGCAAAATTCTGGGCATGTTGTATGTTTAAGCCATGTGAGAACTGGCTCGGGGAACATGTGGAGACGGAGTGGACAGAAAAGGAAAGAATGGAGTTCAAAGGTATTAGCTGCAGAAGAAAATTTGCACTGAAAGAAGGGAAGAAATTGTCTCCCGCCCAAGTGCTAGTCTGATGATCAACGCGGGCAAGAGTTCCCATGAAGGGCTGTCCCCGGGATGGTGCTTAAAGCAAAAGGAACCAGTGGGATGGCCGTGGTGGTTTTGGAGCGATGTCTGTAGGGACCAGAGCTGTCTTCCCTTGGGAGGTGGAATTAGAAGCTGGGGAGGAGGGAAGGAAAGGAGTGAGGCTAACGAGGTTTTCTCTTCCAAACCCTCTCCCCTACCTGACCCCATCCAATCCCCTAGAGGCCGAACTGACCGCCCCCATTCTGTGGAGCTGTGATGACTGCATAGTCAGCGAGGAGCTGGGTCATTTCACACTTGTTCTTGCTAAATGAGAACATTACAACATGATAAGCGACACTGAAGCAGAGGCGGTGCGGCTGGTGGGTAGGTGCGGGGGTTAGAGGCAGACAGGCCAGGCTGCGACTGTGATTCTGCCTCAGAGGAGCTGTGAGGCCTGGTGCAATCACTTTCCCGCATTAGGCCTCAGTTTACTGCTCTGTAGAATGGGTGTATTATCATCTACCCAAGGAGCCTGGTACGAGAAGCCCAGGTAAATCTGTTGCTATGTCACCAGGCGCTGGTTAAGTTAGGTCTTATTACCCCAATGTCACCAGCCGCCCCACCTCCCTCCCGTTCACCCATGGGCACCGCAGTCCCAAGTGCCCCACATGAGGGCAGCGATACTGAGGCCAGGCTGCCTGGGCTGCATCCCGAACACTAGCCACACCATCACCTGCACAGGCTTCTCACCTCTCGATACCTCAGTTTCCCCACCTGGGGAACAGGGACGACAGCAGCACCTGCCTCCCACTACCGTTTGGTTAATAAGTAGCAAGTCCTTCGAAACCATCGCTAGCACATATTTAAAGCACATGTTTTTGCAATACTTGGGGAAACTACCCTTTTAAAGATCTAAAAAAGACTGCTTCATATAAAGACTGAATAAGAAGTAAGCCAATGTCTAGAGATTTTGCTCTGAAAATTGCATTCAAAGGAAAGCAGGAACCAAAGCTTAAACGACACGGTCCTACAGGAAGCAGCAGCTCCCTGTTCCTCAATGCATGTGCCGCACTTCGCCAGTCAGAGCATC